ATCTATATCTGGTTCATGTTGTTCAGTGATTTCAGGAAATAATAATCTAGTTCTAACACTTCAAATACTGACCTAAAATTTTGCATTCACACTGCAACTACCTAATGTATCCCTGGACACACGCCAGCCTGCATTCTATTTACCTCAAAATGTTTTGGAGATCTTTTCATTCGAGATTCAATAAGGTCATACCGGTTAAATCTACAGACAGTATAGGTCCGATTTGGAAGCTAGCCTTCCTACGAGCTTTTGGTTAGGAGAAGTTAGACATAATAAATTTAGCAATAAGCCTGTGAGCGAGTGGACATGCTCCAAAGCGTACTGAAACCCTGTGTGATTAAAGAGCCTCCCAGCTGAGTGGGGAGCAATAGCTCCCATTTAGAGGAGGCTTTGCATAGCAAATGCAGCATGTAAGGAAATCTAATCAGCACCTTGCACTCCTGTGCGAGCATTTACACGGATTTGTGCCTTGCACTTGATTAGCTTACTGTAAGCTCTACAAGAGATTCCCTTCGCTAAAAATTAATCAAAAGCTCTTGAAGACTGATTTCCATTCACAAGAGAAGCCAGGATGAGTTTCCAGGTGAATAAATAATAATCATAATAAAGATAGCAGCAGCAATTGCTGCGCTGCTTTGAAACTCAAAACTCAGTTGGGGGAAAGGGGTCGTCGGGGAGTTGGGGCTGGAAGCCTTTTGCTCCAGGAGTGAGCCGCAGAGATTTTCTCTGCCTAAGTCAGGCTGCTGTTCAGAAAACGTGACCATCTTTCCGCTGCCCCTGCCTCGGTGAACACACGCGGCCACTCTCGACCCCGGTGCATCAGACCACGAGAAAAATGCTGCCTTTGCAACAGCGCCGGCCCCCTCCCCCAAACACACACACACACACACACACACACACACACACACACACACACACACACCATGGCAAATTCACACCACCAATGGCTAACACGTTTTATCACCCCTCAGTGAAAATGTGACTCACAAAAGTTATTTCATGACGCCAGAAGGTGAACGGAAGGAAGACTCCGGGGGAAAGGATAATTTTCACCCTTTGCTTGTATTCTCCCCACTCCCACCCCCACGTACTCCAACCTCAGAGTTTGCTGTCCTGCTGGGCGAGTTGGCTCTAATAATTTTTTTTAAATGCTGAGTAGCATTGAAAAGACCGGGGGGGGGGGGGGGGGGGGCTGAGAAATTCAGGAATCAGGTCCTCGAATTGAAGAATACCAAAAGCTCCCCTGAATTCACATTCCAAATTTCCAAAGAGCTGCAAGATGAAACACCAGCTGAGGCAGAGGGCTCTCTCGCACTCCCAGGGGGATTCGCCTCCCTGCACAGCTGCCTCCCTAGCGCGACGGTGGAGCTGCCGGCGCCCGGTGCCCATCCAGGGTTCTTGAACTTCGCCTCCCTCTCACTTTCAGCCGGACCCGGCGAGGGCCTGGAAAGGCTCCTTCGGGAGGGAGCAGGAGCCCGGCGGAGGGGCCCGAAGGGGGGTGGGGGGAGGGACGCGGTT